TATAAAATGGTCCAAATAATGGTCAAAAAATGGTCCAAAAAGTGGTCCAAAACGTGGTCCAAAACGTGGTCCAAAAAATAGTCCAGTGCAGTCGATATTTTACCCTCTACTATAGTCTCTTGGTAAGCAGTTTGACATCAGAACATCGGACATCAGAACTTTCATTTCATTCTACTAAAAAAGTACAACACCAAGAAAGAAAAAAAAAAAAAGGAAGAGAGTTCTAACTATACATAAAATTACACAAAGCAGCGGAACGTGTGTGTAGTAGCCAAAGGAGCCAAGCTTTCAAGTTGGCTACTACCATAGAGCAGTTACAGATGGGTGGAGACTAAATACTTAAGGAGATAGCACATACACTCTATAGTTAAAATATTAAAATAGAGCTATATGATGTATTAGAGATGATCAAGATGTCTGTCTGCCAAGTAGGAAGAGTTTAAATTCTTTTTTAAAACTTTTGGCGGGAAAACACTTTTTTTTAATAAGTATCGTTTGCCAGGTCTATGATGCCACTATGCTAAATCTTGCTAGACCATAATCGGTTCCAGAAAAGGGTCTGTACAAGTTTTGATCAGTGCAAACCTACTATAGTATTTATGGACTGCTGAAGCCGGTTGAGCTAGAACATAAAGGACCGGAGGTATATTCTTTTTCCGATATTGAATTTTATGCACAAGAGAGCCAATTATTAATTTAAAAATATTCTCTAACTTTAAGATGTCTAATAGTGTAAAATATGGTGTAGGACTTTCTCTTTTGCTAGCAAAGAAGATGCTGCGGATGCAGTTGTTTTGTTATAATCGTATTTGAACTGCGTCACTTGAGAGAAACGAACCCCGTCATACAATGATAAGATGTTCATTGGCCTTTCGTGGGCTTCAACTCTATTTTTATAACTGTTATCACATTCGTATCAATCGAGGTTAAAGATTACGGAGACGTGCCAATCGGCTATGTTCTGACACTGACGTTTATCGACTGACTTTTCTACTCCAGGTAAGCAGAAGGTAGCTTAATAAATT